GTCAACATAGTGTAAATATAAAACAAATCACTTGTTAAATACAAAAATAATATAAAGTCTCAAAAGTCAAGGCAATTCAAATTCAAAATGACTACAAGTATAACATCAGTAGACTATTATTAACTATAAATGTTTTGAAAAAACAAAGAAAATAACAGCAGATTTCAGCCTGTCAGCATCATGCAAACATACAATATCAGACATACAGTAGTAGTTCTTTACAGGTTATTCATTCCACTGCGCTGCTTTTCCATTGTTTTTTTCCCTATGTAAACATGTGCTTGATGGATGCGTTTGGCCACTGCACTCACGTGTCTTGCAGCGTCTCATGCATGAAACGGCATTCTACAAACACGGCGCTCAAGTTAAAAGGAGCTCAACTCCCATCTCCTTGTCTTTTTTTTCCCATTCCACTGGCCGCGCCACATCTTTGTCAATGCAAAAGCGCATTCTGTGTGAATAGCACCTACAGCAATATGTTCTACTTACATTCCTTCCTAGTGCGCGTCACATGAGGGGTTAATCATGTGTGCCTTCATGCGCTCAGATCATTCTTTTCTCTCATCATTAGCATACTGTCAATGTGTCTAATTTCAACGTGGAAAGGTAATAGTTCTTTTCAAAATCGCAATTCTTTGATTTATAAAAAATAAAATTGAGGTAAAACATTAAATTCGAATTAATCAATAAAATCTGAAAAATCGGCCAGCCCTAAAGGAAATACTAGGGACTAAACGAGATAATTAACTAGACACGGGTGTAACACGAGGGCCAATCGAAAACCAAGGCAACTAATGAACAGGGACAAAGGAAACATAAACTAGCATAGGAAACAGTGCAAAGCTAACTCAGATGTGACGTTACAATATTAGTCTGGCGAGTAAACAAAAAAAAGATGTACAAGCCAATGGCGATTCTATTGCCAAGGTGTGCATAGAGGGTTGTACATGTACATTAACTAATGTTAACAAATGGATGCTTATTGTAAATGTTACCATATTTAGGACCCTCTTGGAACTGACCCTTCGCAAAGACCCGTCCCCTTAGTTATTGTTGCTATGTCCGACAAGCCATGGCGCACTCACGCCACACGTCATGTTCTCACGCAGTGAAAAATACATCGCGGATCAAAGAGGACACTGACAACGTGCCGATAGACAAGACAGAGCAGGTTACTTCTGGTATGAAACAAGCTTTCAAATTTTGTCATTTTTTAAAGAAATTCAAACAATAAATACCGTTTTGTGGCTCTTTAATGTGACAGGTAGTTGTAGCGCCTCAGTTCAAACAGCACGTGAACAGATGATCTCGTCCTCTTTACTAGTTATAGCACAAAATAAACATGAATGACCATCAGAAGGTATCTCGTTTCAACTGCGGAAAGACATCAATACACACCATTTTTCAAGTTCAAGTCCACTGTCGTTAATCTACTCTCCTGTCCGGTTTGTTTGTCGGACAAAATGGCAGATTCTGCATTATGATTGGTCAGATCGCCTGTCAATCAAACTCCCTGCGAAGGGTCAGTTGATCTGTTTATTCCTTTTATTTCTCATGATGGGAGGTTGTAGATGAGCAGCTGACTTCAGTTGTGTGTAGTTTGTTTGATGATATCACTAGCGGTGTTTGAAGATGCCCATCCTGCCTTTAAAGGGGTCCTATTATGCTTTTTCACTTTTTCAACTTTAGTTAGTCTGTAATGTTGCTGTTTGAGCATAAAAAAGATCTGCAAAGTTACAAAGCTCAAAGTCCACTTCAAAAGGAGATATTTTATTTAACAGAAATCACTTTTCAAAAACTACAACGAACGACTCGTTTGGACTACAATGCATATTTTCCGGGATTTGTGATATCACAAATATCGACGAATGGGACGAGACCTGGTTGAGCTGCACTAGAAAAGGCAACGAGTGTTATCACTATGTCGGAGACGCACTAGTTTTCACAAGGCAGACGAACTTTGTGGTTACAATCATCCGGGTTTAAATCGCGCTCAAATTGATTCGATTTTGACGCAATATTTACACTGAGGCTTGCAGGCGGCTATGGTAAGGGGCATGACATTTCCCGACCAAGCGCCGAGTGCTGCCAATCACAGCACACACTGGCCCAGCTAACCAAACACAGCACA